TTTCTCTCTCTCTCTCTCTCTCTCTCTCTCTCTCTCTCTCTCTCTCTTAATAGAAATGGTAGTTAGGATGTTATTAGATCTTTTCAAATTTGTCCTTCTAATTAGTTTCTATGTACAATAAATTGTTAAGGACATATGTTGAATTTTTTGAAATCTTAACATACATAAGGGTACAACCAGTAGTGTGGCTTTTCTTAAATAATAGTAATAGATATCTTATGAAAAACTCAGGAATCTCCTACAACAAGCAGTGCTCGCTTTTCCCTTTTTTTAGACCAGGGTTTGAAACTTTGAAGTATCGAGGAATATTGATATATATCAACTGTATTATATCGAAATTACAGCATGCAATTCAATCCAGAAGAAATCGACTGATACTATTGGTATTGCCTAATATGAGTAATACAGAAATGATATTTTAGGTGTTAACGAGTATTGACTCGTATCCGCTAACATGAGGAGATAAATGTATGAAGTGTCAATTGATTTAACGGAGTTACATCCAGATAAAATAAGAAGAAAAATAATTAAGAAAAATGAAGGAACGTGTGTGTGTTGTGCGCACGTGTGCATGCGTGCTTGTACTGGTGTTTGAATGCATGCGCGTGCAGGTGCGTTTGTGTTTCGTGCGCGCGGACCTCCTTGTATGTGCAAGTGTGCCCTATATCTTTTTTTTAAGCATGCCCTATATCTATGTATAAGTTGTCTTTGTGTGTGTCTAGGTGTATGTATTCTGTGTGTGCGTGCGCCTAGCCATCTTTTAGCAAAGAGTGTGTATGTGTTTGTGTGTGCCTAGCCAACTTCTAGCAACGTGAAAATTTTAGATAGATGAAAATTCATGCTGCTTGCTAAGAGATTGCTCTTTTTTACTTATTTTAAGATTTCCTAGTGGTCAATTATGTCTTCTTATAGATTCACTATGGATTCTCTCTAATATGACCGGATTTGTATATTTTCCTGCAGGGGAGCGGTAGTTCATTAGATGACTGTGCCTACCATCTCATTTGCCCATGCTGTACGCTATGCCAGGTTATTGCCAACTTGTGCTTTCTTTCGCTTACTGCAAATAAAGTTTACAAAAGCCTTTTCAATATTATTTAACATTAAGACAATCTGGATTTGGTATATTATCGTAGAATTGTCCAAATCTAACAAAGATGGGCATTGATTGTTTCAGGAGTCCAGGACTCTGGAGATGAACAATGTCCAAGATGGTGTTTGGCATGGCAGGGGTGAAACAATCTGTGTTGGAAGTTTTGGAGAAGGGAACAAAGTGTTCTCTTCTGTCCACAAGCCAACTGTGATGATGACCATGGAAAGAACATCAAATGGAAGTAATCATTCTTGGAATGGGAATACTAGCCATTCAGAGCCTCTGGTTGTGTCAGCCCAGCAAGGAAAAAACCCCTAGAGAATTGTGATTTTACTTGCAGTGGTTCAGGCAAAGTGCCACTCTGATCTATTTCGTACATTACCGTCAAGGCTTGCTGGCTTCCATCGAAGAGCGAAGCTCAGTGCATTCGACCAACAGCCGGAGACTTTGTCATAATGATTCAGGTGGAAGTCTTGGGAAACTTCCCTTCATCATTCATCAGTCATCCCTTCTAATTCTCAGAGTCGTATATCTGGTTACACCAAGCCGAAGCCTCTAATTGTGAAAAGGCTTCATCTGCGTTATGTGTTGTTTCTGTTTGTTTTTGTGATTGTTTTCGTCCGATGAGGCGCTTTGTGCATGATGTAGTGATTGTTTATCCTTCCTCCCGATGGCAATCTGTTGTTCGTGATCGCGGAAAGTTTTCTTCTTTCAAGTTCAGGGTTTGTCTAAATACGTTAATTGGATGGAATTCATTGGGTACAGTACCAATAAGGCAGCCAACAAGTACTTTGGACCATTTTCTTTCTATCTAAGACAAAAATGTACGTTGCCCTTAAATATGGAATATATTTTCGCGGGATATGTCTGATTGAACAGAGAGCGTACCGGAAATGATAGCGATTTTTTTTTTCTTTCTAGTTTCTCTTCCAAGGGTAACGATCGAGCGTTCTGAAGCATGTACCTCCTTCGATTCCTTCCTTCAACCATTCATGCTCTATGTTGTGAAATAACAGAATGGGAAGGAAGTATATAGGATCATATTATTGATAAATCTATACATGTGGGTAAATGGTGCTTAAACACCCTATTGTTTCACAATCTCTACACTTAAATATTCAAAGTTATAAAAAAAAATAACACTTTAATATCCTAAAAACTTAAAAAAGTAACATTTTAATATCCTAAGTTGTAAAAAACTGGCATGCGACTATGCGAGTATCTTTAGTTTAGATGCATGTTGGAATATCCTAAGAATATTCTCATGTGACTAGGAGATGATATTTTTATAATTGTTTTGACCCCATTTATTATCATATGTATTGCTATATCTACTCTCTATCTTTTTATTAATTTTTATATGAAGGGGTATTTTTGTCATAGCAGGTTTTTTTCAATGGTGTTTATAAGTGGACAGCTTATGGAATTTATGTGCTAGTTTTTAGTTATTACAATTGAGAGTATTCAAGTGTAATAGCGATGAAAATGATATCACTCTAATTTTGATTTTTATGTGTGTGTGTGAGTGCGATGCACATTTATCTCCCACCTATTAAAGGGTATTTTAGAGGTTGTGCCCTAGCGTTTTCTATGAGATTTGCTAAAGCTACACAGAAGGACTGAGATCTTGTGTTATTGTGGGCTCTAACTGAAGAAATCAAAATTTTGGAAATGAGATCAAGGCCTTTAGAATAGTACGAATATATGTTGTGTAAGGGCCTGTTCGTTTGCCTAAAAAAAAGAGGGAAATCAAAGAAATGAAAAACTATTAAAATGAAGAATTGGGGAAATCAAAGAAATGAAAAACTATTAAAATGAAGAATTGTTTTTGGAGTGTTTGGTTGGCTAAAAAAGAAGGAAATCAAAGAAATAAAATTGAAATGATGTTAGTTGTCACCTTATTATTGGATGATGTTTGTGATTTTTTAAGAAAACTAGTTTTGGAGTGTTCGGTTGGCGAAAAAAAATAAGGAAATGAATTATAAGAAACCTATTTCCTGTAGTTTCTTGTTTTCTTTTGTTCGGTTCATTCTTAAAAATAAGAAATGAAATGAGATGAGATGAGTTGTCATTGTATTATTGGGTGATGTGAAGAAAGATTAAGAAAAGTGTTTTCATAACTTTTTGGGATGAAAATGAAGAAATGAAATGTTAATGAGATGAGGTGAATTGTTATAATATTTTATTGGATGATGTGAGTGATTTGAAATGATGAGTTGAGTGATGTTTGGATGAAAATAATATTTTATTAGATGTGATGGATGAGTTATTAGATGAAAATAATATTTTATTAGATGTGATAGATGAGTGGTTAGATGAAAATCATATTTTATTAGATGGTGTGGATGAGTTGTTGGATGAAAATAATATTTTATTGGATGTTGTGGGTGAGTTTTAGGGATGGAAATGGAGGAAATGGTGAGTTTTGAGATTTTCACCATTTCCATTTCCATTTCTTGGTTTTTAGAAAACAAACGAACAGGCCCTAAGAGAATGTATGTTGCAAGTGGACAACCAAGTTACAGTATAGAAAATGTCAAACCCCAATGAGGGGGTTTTTTTAAAAAAATTAATTAGAAATTTTATTTTAAAAATTATTTGAAAAGAAGTTTTTTATGAAAATGTGTTAAAAAAAGAGTTTTGGATTTTTAATGAAGAAAAGAAAATAGAACTAGGAAGAGGAAGAGGAGAGAATATAAATGCAAATAAGAAAAAAAAGAAAATGAAAAAAATAAATAGAAGAAACAAAAACAAAAATAAGATAAAAGAGGAAATAAAATTAGGGGGGGCCAAATCTGGCCTAACGGCCAGATTTGGTCTTTTGACCGTTTTGCCCCTTAAAACGGTCAAAAAACGGCTATTTTTCGAGGGTTTTTTGGTCATTTACCTAGGGGGCTGCTTCTATAAATAGAGGGGGGGTTTCAATTCATTTTCTCACAACAAAACTCATCTATTTCTCTCTCTACTACTCTCTTATACAATCTTATACTATCTCATACTAATATACTATCCTATAATCTTTTGTATTTTCTAATACTTCCAACAAATGGCTTCTGGGTCTGATTATGAAGAGCAACATGCAACTCCTACCGATCCAGAGATGAGTCCTCCTACAACAACTCCTCATCCTACCGGTGTTAATCCTGAATCTGGTGGCGACGAATCTACGGCACCAAGAGCTCCAAAAAGGCCGAGGTCTGATGTATGGAATTTTTTTGAGAAGATAGACGTCACCAAGGATGAACACGGTAGGATCATCTCTCAGAATGCGAAATGTGCGTTGTGCGGCCAGATATTCAAAGCTCATCATAAGAGCGGCACCAACCATCTCAAACGGCATATTGAAAAACACAACAAAGGCCAAAATCTACAAGGTGATATCCGGCAGTCTATGCTTTCCCAATCATCCTCTTCAGGTACCCTCGGCAGTTGGAATTATGACGCTGCCCGAGCCCGGAAATGCGTAATCAGGTTTATTGTTCTTAAAAACCTTCCTTTTAAATTAGTAGAAGATGATGAATTTGAAGATTTGTTTAGAGATGGTTTTTATCCTGCATTTACAAAATTTTCTCGTCAAACCTGTCAACGTGATATTTTAAAATATTATGTTGAGGAACAGGGAAAAATAATTTCTTATTTTAAAAATTTAAACTGCAAATTTTCTTTAACTTCTGATATTTGGTCATCTAGAGTGCAAACTGGTTATTTATGTATAACAGCACACTGGATTGATGAAAGTTGGAAAATGTTTAAAAGAGTTGTTTCTTTTATTGCAATTGAAGAGTCACACACTGGTATTAATGTTGCAAATTTAATTGTTGAAGAACTTATGAAACTAGAAATTGATCAAAGAATATTTACTCTTTCACTAGATAATGCAAGTAATAATAATGTAGCTGTTGATTTTCTGAAAAGAAATTTATCATTGCCATGTCATGGTGAGCTTTTTCATGTTAGATGCAGTATCTGTCATATTTTAAATTTAATTGTTCAAAGTGCATTTTCTGAAATTAAACCCATGATAGAAAAAGTTAGAACAGTTACTAATATGCATAATGCTTCTGAAATGAGAATTAAAAGATGGAAACAATGTTGTAAAAGAAAAAATTATAAGCCTAGACTAATTCCAAAAGATGTTGACCATAGGTGGAATTCCACCTATGCAATGTTATCTGTAGCAATAGAATATAAAGAAATTATAAATGATTTTATAAATTTTTATGCTTCTAGTTCTAGCTCTGGTAGTGCTTATGGAATAACTGAAGATGAATGGACAGTTATATGTAAATTAAATGAGATGTTACAAGTTTTTTATGATGCTACTATGTTATTATCTGGTTGTTATTATCCAACTATTACTTTAGCTGCTTTACAAATTTTAAATATTCAAAAAAATTTTGCAAAATATCGTATGGATGATATTTTTGGAAATATAATTTTTCAAATGGAGAGTAAATTTAATAAGTATTTTAGGCCTATTCCTCATATTTTTGGTATTGGTGTTCTTATTGATCCATGCTTGAAGGAAATTGGCCTTCGAAGTTTGTTACAATCATTGTATGGTGGACAGATTATAGACTTAGATGATGGATCCACCCTTACTGCTACTACTCATTATTTAGCTATTAGAAATTATTTTCAAACCTTATATGATGAGTATGCAGCTAGATATGGTGTAGCTACACAACAGTCTTCAGCTTCGGCACCTTCAGCTTCGAGCACAGGTCGAGGTAAAAGTGTAAGTTTTGATAGGTATGCAATGGTAGCTGAACTAACTGGTGGATCTGGAACTTCATCAGGATTAGATGTTTCTGAAATAGATGAATATTTTTCTGCTTCTTTAGTTAGATGTCAAGGAAATGCTTTAGATATTTTGCAATGGTGGAAAGTATATGGATCAGTTTCATATCCTATACTTTCCACCATGGTTCGTGACTTACTATCAGTGCAGGTTTCGACTGTAGCCTCGGAATCCGCTTTCAGCACAGCAGGACGTTTGATCGACGACCACAGGACATGCTTAGATCCGTATACTGTACAAGCGGTGATGTGCTTACAGGATTGGTGGAGATACGAGAAGCGAACACAAGGCATCGAACGGATTGCTATGATTGAAGATAAATTTGAAGAGTTAGGATTAGCAGATAGATATAATGATTAGATAATATTCATAAAATTGTAATTTTGTTTTCTTAGCTTTAAATTTGAATTAAATTATTTCGAAAAAAGTTGCAAATGATAGTGATATGGGTGAGTAGGTGCCAACCTAGTTGGGATGTACTCATCTATTGTGATGCGACGAATTTCGAAATAAATTTATACTTGTAAAGGATTTGTAAAGGATTTACCGATTATTAATAAAGAAGTTATTTTTATCATTTTTTGTACTTGTAATTTATGTCATTTCATTTCAAGCTATTAATTAAATTTATGATATTTTTTATAATAATTTATGGTTTATGGTTTTGTTAAAATTAAAAAAAAATTCTAAAAAAAAATCAAATCGGGCCGGCCCGGTGTCCGACCCGCTCAGGCCCGGGCCCGGGTCCGGGCTTGGGTTTTGCCCGGCCCGGGCCGGCCCGGATGGACAGCCCTAAATAAAATAGAAGCGTAAAAGATCTAGAAAGAAATAAAAAAACTAAAATAATTAAAAAAAGAAAGAGAAGACGAAAACTAACAAAATTAGGGGCTAAAAAAGAGAAAGAGCAAGAGAATAAATTAAGAAATTAGGATAGATTCCACTAGATAGCTATTTATTAGATCTAGAAATTACCCTCTTTTTATTCATATTTAGAATTAAAAAACATGATATATCAATCTAATTAAAGAAATAATAGAATATCAAGATAGATTCTAAAAAAAAGATTAAAGTTAATGCATAGATAATCAATTAAAAATAATAATCCTAGAATACGAATAA